ATCATAGTATCAGCAAAGGGAACTATTTACTGCTTCGAGCTTTATGTGAATGCATGTGTTTTCTTCTTCCAAAAGAATTAATGATTGCAGTCAGAATGACTCATTCATAATGTCTGCCTCATTCAAACTATGCTTACTAGGGGGGAAAGTGTATTGTTTCTTATTGCTTGTGGCAAAACTAGTGTGAGCTATATTTAGAAAAGAAAAACAATTCTCCCAGACCATTGTAGCTCTAATAGTGTGGAGTCACAATACGGTGGTACAGAACATGCTTTGCTGATATATAGGAACATCAGATGAGCCTGCTGGATCAGACCAACGGCCCATCTAGTCCAGCATGAAGCTGGGATAGCTCAGTCAGTAGAACATGAGACTTAATCTCAGGGTCTCACGCTGGGCAAAAGATTCCTGCATTGCAGGGGGCTGGAGTAGATGACCCCGGGGTCCCTTCCAACTCTACTATTCTATGATTCTGTGATCTTGCCTCCACAGAGGCTTACCAAATACCTGTGGGAAGCCTGGAAGCTGGACATGAGCTCAACAGCACTCGGCCCACCTGCGATTCCCAGTAATGTGCTGATTTCTTGGTCCTCTGGCACAGGACGATGCAGCTGGAAACAACTTGTGCTGACCTCCCTTCCAACAGAATGGCAAAAAATTGACCCAAACCCTAGATGCAGCAAGAGCATGAGCTGGAGAGGAGCAAGCAAATTAAGAAGACCCCTGCTGAATCTGGCCAACGGCCCATCACGTTTCACATCACAGCTGACAGTCCATCCCAAAAGTAGGACCTGAGTGCAACTGTCACTCCTACTTGTGATTCCCAGTATTTGGTATTTGGAGACAATGGAACAAAGCCATCATGGCTAGTAAGCAACTGACGGCCTTTATCCTTCATAAACTTGTCAAACCCTCTTTCATAGCTGTTGGGTGGCCATCGCTACCTCTTGCAGGAGCAAATTGCAGAATTTAACTCGATGCCGGGCAAAGTAGTACTAACTTTGAATCTTTCAACACCCAGCTTCATTGAGTGGCCCTGGGTTCTAGTTACATTCCATGAGCTTGAAGGCAACTGAAATGGTGATGGAAGGGGCCAAAGCTCTCACCTGTGCCATTCCACCCCCCACCCACCCACCCCCCAAAAAGTTTAATTAACACATGAAAGGAATGGCTGGGTTTCAGTCTCTCAACATTCCATTTAATCAGTATTAGTTATAGAACTTTTCAATTGTATAGCGTTACAAGCTCATTATCCTTGAAAGATACCTGTCCCTGGTCAATCACTGCCCTTATTGTTTCCCATTTTGTTAGTGTGGCTTGCCATTCTTCAGGACTTTAGAAGCTCTTGACATGAGACTACGACTATTACAAATTGATGAGAGTGTACCAGTTTTCATCTGTAAAATACTTTTGCACAGGAAATTACCCAAAGGGGTAGGGCAGAGGAGAAGCAAGCGTTGGACTTGATTCTGCCATCACTAGTGGTGTTGATCTAATTGTTAATTGCACCTCTGAATCATTAAAAAATAAATTCATTCCTTCTAAGAATTGGCCAAAGAAAATCTGTACAGTCTAATTTATTCAAGTACTTCCATGAATCTTACTACTCAGAAGTAAGAGCCGTTGAGTTCTGTGGAACATAACCCCCAGGAAAACATGTATAGTGATTTCTGTCTTAGTCACCTGAAAAACACTATGAACTACCAGAATTGTGAAGGGAGAAAGACTTTGTGTGGGCCATCAGGCAATGGCTTTTTCCACCTGCCTTGCCCTGCCTTCCAGCCCTAGAAGCCTTTCCCAGACCATGACTTAGAGAACAGCAGAAGCAGCTGGGGAGAGAGAGAGAGAGAGAGAGAGAGAGAGAGAGATAATGATAGATGATAGATAGATAGATGATAGATAGATAGATAGATGATAGATAGATAGATAGATAGATAGATGATAGATGATAGATAGATAGATAGATAGATGATGATAGATAGATAGATGATAGATGATAGAGATAGATAGATAGATAGATAGATAGATAGATGATAGATAGATAGATAAATAGATAGATAGATAGATAGATGATAGATAGATGATAGATAGATAGATAGATAGATAGATAGATAGATGATAGATAGATAGATTAGATAGATGATAGATAGATAGATAGATAGAGATGATAGATAGATGATAGATAGATAGATAGATGATAGACAGATAGATAGATAGATATATGGTAGATAGATGATAGATAGATAGATAGATAGATAGATAGATAGATAGATGATAGATAGATAGATGATAGATAGATAGATGATAGATAGATGATAGATAGATAGATAGATAGATAGATAGATGGATAGATGATAGATAGATAGATGATAGATAGATAGATGATAGATAGATGATAGATAGATAGATAGATAGATAGATAGATAGATAGATGATAGATAGATAGATAGATAGATAGATAGATAGATAGATAGATGATAGATAGATGATATAGATAGATAGATAGATAGATAGATGATAGATAGATAGATAGATGATAGATAGATAGATAGATAGATAGATAGATGATAGATAGATAGATAGATGATAGATAGATAGATAGATGATAGATAGATAGATAGATGATAGATAGATAGATAGATAGATGATAGATAGATAGATAGATAGATAGATAGATAGATAGATAGATGATAGATAGATAGATAGATGATAGATAGATAGATAGATAGATAGATAGATAGATAGATGATAGATAGATAGATAGATAGATAGATGATAGATAGATAGATAGATATAGATTAGATTAAGTTGTGTGTCCTTTTTTCTCAATTTCATGCTTTTGCATGATTTTGTATGTTTCATGGTATTTTATGCATTGTGACTTGCCATTATTTTTATTGATTAAAGGTAAAGGGACCCCTGACCATTAGGTCCAGTTGTGGTCGACTCTGGGGTTGTGGCGCTCATCTCGCTTTATTGGCTGAGGGAGCCGGCGTACAGCTTCCGGGTCATGTGGCCAGCATGACTAAGCCGCTTCTGGCGAACCAGAGCAGCGCACGGAAACGCCGTTTACCTTCCCGCCGGAGCGGTACCTATTTATCTCCTTGAACTTTGAAGTGCTTTCGAACTGCAAGTCCTAGGCTCTGTGGTTTAACCCACAGCGCCACCCGCGTCCCATTTTTAATCAATGTTTATTGATTACAGTTTGGTAATTCTCTATTGTAATTGTTAAGTGTAAACTGTTTCATTACTATTTGCTGATATTTAATTTTGCTGTTTACTATTACATTCTAACGGATTATTAAATGTTGATTCATTTGTTGTAAGTTGTTTATTTTAAAATTATGTTTTTATTGTGACCTTTTTGTATTGGATCAGATTGTTGTTTGGTTTGTTATTGGGGGTGCGATCTTTGTGACCTCCATTTTGTTGTTTCTTCAGCTTCTAAACTGCCTTGTGTATAGCAATGTAGAAAGGCGGTATACAAATTAAAAAGTGAAATTAAATTAAATGAAACGAAACTACCACTTGGCCCTGATGAGCTTTCGGTGCCAGTGAAAGCCAAATTTGTCCACTTGGGCCTTGGGTTAAATTGTTATTGCTGGACCTGCTGATCTGTTGTTGTTTTAAAGTTATGCTTGTTTTATATACAATGTGGTCTTATTACTGTCAGGGGCTCAGGAGCAGAGGCACAGGAAAGGGAGGAAATAGAGAGCGAGGGGGAGGAATCCGAAGGAAATGTTAGCGATGACAGAGGTCCGAGGTCTCTAAGTCTTTCCAGCGAATCGGAGGATTCACAGAAAGGGGCTCCCATGGTCAGAGCAAGGGGGGTGCCTAGGGGGACACCCCAGGAAGAAGGGGCCAGAGGGGACTCAGAGAGCAGCAGTTGGAAATCAGGACCAGCTTCCCCACCAGAGCGCAGTAGGGGGAGGAGTCCCAGGTATCGGGAGCAGGCGGCTCACCGCCAGTGGGAGGACATGAGTCACGATTGGCCACGCCTCCATCGGGGAGCGAGGAAACGGTCAAGAGGAAGGTCGAAAGCTGGGCGCGCGCGCCAAGTTCAAATGTACAGGAGGGCGGCGCAGTTGGCAGCCCGGATAGGGAGCCAGGTCCCAAAGCCCGCTGGAAAGAGGGGGAGGAGTCAGGGGGGTCAGCGTCAGCGTCAGAAGAGTCCAGAAAGAAGGAGACCGGGGGGCAGAAGGACCCAGAGGAGAAAGGAGAGACGGAAAAGGTGGAGTAAGATTAGAGCCTTAAGTTGGTGTACAGGGGGTGGAGACTCAGATGGAGCTTCGCCGGTCTAGCCTCTAAGACGTAGAGCTGGGGCGCTGCGGCTTGAAAATGGAAACTGTACTTCAATAAAGACTTTTGTACATTACTGCCGGCTAGCGTTGGTCCTCTGTGAGCTGGGACCTGGAGCCAGCTCTGACAATTACGTTTTATGGATTGCGAATATTGTATTGTACCCTGCTCTGGGATCAAATTTAAATGAAGAGTGGGCTGGAAGGGCCTCAAATAAATAAACCAGCAAAGAAAACAAGAAGCCACCCATAGGAATGATGGGGTGTGGGAGATGTCAAAGAATCATCTCTGTAAAAGCAAAGTATAACTGCTCCTGAGTGCTTCGTGCAACTTAGCGTTCGGTTGCCATTGTGAGAAATTCTCCAGCTACTTGGTCATTGTAAATCTGCTTTCAGTTTCAGGCATGTTCTCTCTCTCCCTCTCTCCCTTTTCATTGCAACGGGGATCTAATTCAGTGCTTTAAATCTGTGTTCTGCAATGCATAATTAATCTGGCTTCATAGAGATCTGGACAAAAGGCCCCATTCAATCTTTAGCTCCTTCCCCCGAGATATTGTTATTTCTAAAAACTCCGGCCAGCTGGGCTGGAGGGAAACTTCAGCACTGTGGGAGAATGAACAAACTGTAGGCCTCCGAGGGATTTGGACTAACTAGCTGACTAAATTGGATTAGAAAGTATGGAAGAGAGGGGAAGGCAGAGACAGAGGGAGGCTTCGAAGGCTACAGAACTTCACCGGGTTGGGGGGGGGGAGAGGAAGGCCTCCTAAAACTATTGCAAAATGGTGAAAAGTTTCTGGAAAGGCAAGAAGAATTTTTATTAAGTCAGAGTAAGATGATAAATTGCCTAAAGGCAGGATGGAGCAGAGCAGAGGAGCAATTTTGCAGTGGGGAAGCAGGTAGGAGTTTGTTACATCTGTTTCTGGGCTTTTTAGCAGAGCTTGCTAGTAAGGAGATTGTACAGGCCGATCATAAACAGGCCTGTGCAATGCATGATGCAGTGCACCCAATGCAACTCACTAACCATGTGGTGTGTCCTATTGAGTCACCACTAGGGATGCAGAAGGAATTCAATTGAGCTTAAATCTAAAGGCGACTCTAACCTAATTCTCACTTCCCTAAACTATACATGAGGGGAAATGCAGTAATAACTCAGCATTCTCACTGGTTCGAATTTTGTAGTGCGGTTCTCATGTGTATAAAAATGTTTATTAAAGTGTTAATAATAATATATTGGGGAAAATATAAATATTAGGGGGTAAATTCTTTGGGGGGGGGAATAAGCATTATGTGAAATTTTATACCTAAATGTGCATATTGGGTGAAATTCGCTAGGATGAATTTCCGCAAGGAATTTTTAAAAAGGTAAATCAGACATTGATATACAAATGTGGAAAACACTGAAACTGAGAGAAATTGAAATTGACAGAGTCACCCATCCCTATTTGCAACTTGTTACCTTTATTACCACCAGTACCATTTTTACCCTTGTTCTTCTGCCAAAAAAGGCTCTGAGAGTGGCTTTCAGATATCAGTGAGAAGACGAATACCTACCCTAAGCCTCACAGTCTAAGAGGCACAACACAAAGGGAAAAGAAACAGGGTAGGAGTCTGAAAAAGAGCAAACTCAAGAGATTACATATGGAAATCTTGCCATGGACAGCAGGATTGGAAAAATTTGCAGAGGAGTCAAAATTTGCTGATGTGGATGGAAGTGCCCTATACAGTCATACCTCAGGTTGCGAACGTTGTGGGTTGCGCATTTTCTGATTATGGACCCCACTGAACCCGGAAGTACTGGAATGGGTCACTTCCGGGTTTCGGCGCTTGCGCTCCGCATGTGCAGAATCGCTAAATCACGCTTTGCGCATGTGGAAAACTGCTGAATCGCGTCATGCGCGTGCGCAGACATAGCGCTGCGGGTTGCGAGCGCTGCAGGTTGCAAACATGCTTCCCACATGGATTACTTATGGAATGGCTGCACCTTCTTCCTCCCAAACCCCCAGCCCCATATATAGGAGCCAACTCCTAGGGTCCAAGGTCCCTTCGTCCCCCCAATAAAATATTAAAGGTTAATGGGCATTGCCATTCAAATGGTGTGTGCTATGTCATACGATGGATTATGTGAGGCAGTGCTTTCCTGCCCTCCCACCCATGCAAGTTTAGGAGTCCTCGGTAAGTAGAAGCAATAATAAATTATTTTAGGCCAGGGTTTCCCAAACTTGGATCTCCAGCTGTTTTGGGACGCCAGTTCCCATCATCCCTGATGACTGGTCCTGCTAGCTAGGGATGATGGGAGTTGTAGACCAAAAACAGTGGGAGACCCAACTTTAGGAAACCCTGGTTTAGGCCCTAGTGAACTTCTGTAGTGGGGATTACACTTCCACTGTTTCATTTCACATTCTTATGTTTCAGGGAGGGCTGCTGTGTTTGACACGGAACAAACCCTTGTTGCTGCCAGAAGTGTTTTCTCAATGTTCTTTGTGCTAGTTATCTAGCAAAGGCAGAATAAAGGTTGGGGGGGGGAGTGCCGTCAATCTGCCTCATGAAAGAATCTCTTGGAAAACTCATCCCTCTGGCTCCTCCTGAATTGATGACCTCAGTCCATGTGCCAGAGTGCATGAGCGCCATTACTGCTGGAGCGCTTCCTACGAGACGGAGCCAACCTTTACTACAGAGAACTGGAGCTATAACTATGCAGACTTTTGGCAACATTGCGTTTAAGAAAGCTGAAGAGAGAATTTGGGTGTTCAAAAATGGAACCGTTCCAAAATACAGGCATCTCTCCAGTTTTCAATGCTCATTTTTATGAGACTGACGCAGCACTTAATGCAAGCACACCCAGATATTCCACAAGAAGTACTTCTACGGTTCAGAAACCCACCCTGTAAAGAGCACTAATGCAAAGCATATTGCCACATTTGCTGCAAAGCAAAGAGTGCTGTGATCCTCAAAATCTGAATCCCTCCCCTCTCTCACACACATCCATAGACCATATGGTTCTAATCAAAACTTCTGGAAGAAAAAGAGGGGGACAGCATACCAAAGTTTGAATCTAAGAAAGGAAGTTCTGTGGTGTTTTCGAGCGGATCTAAATTGGGCATCAAAAACACACGATGTTGCCTAATAAAATAGGAAAATTAAGACAAGGCTCTCACTTGGCTATAATGTTTAATTGCGCATACAGAATAACTTCAGGACTCAGAAATGCTGGGCTCAGTGTTTTGATTTAATGCCCCTTTTAATCATGCTGAAATCTGTGGTCTATATATGAAAAATCTGAAGTTCAGTCAGCCATAAAGTACTATAAGGGGGAGAAATGAATTGGAAGCCTGCATGTGCCATTGAGTCAGATTTGGGACAGATGCATTTGTAAAAAATAAAAAGGCACTTGTTTATTTGTACAAGTTTTGACTTCTTGAGTAGGCCTGACTGGTGACAACATTATAAGCAAGTGTTCATAACAGGGAGGGGGGTTGATGCATACCTCAACCCAGCAATATCCCATTAAATCTCATTTTATTTCGTTCTGTTTGAGCTTAAGTGTTCTCTGTGTGAGAAAACAAAATAATAGACCCTGACAGCAAAGGAGACTTACACTGCTCAACATCAGGCATGAGGAACCTGAGTGGCGTTGACTACAATGTCAGTCATCCTTGACTATTGGCCATAATAGCTGGGTCTGATGGGAACTGGAGTCCACCATTGTCTAGCCATTAAAAGTCTTATCCTCCATGGATTTGCCTAAATCCCTTTTCAGATTGTCCAAGTTGGTAGCCCTCACTACTTCTTGTGGGAGCATTGTGTGAAGCACTTCCCTTTGTCAATCTTGAATCTTCAAACATTCAGCTTCATTGTTGTTTAGTTGTTTAGTCGTGTCCGACTCTTCGTGACCCCATGGACCAGAGCACGCCAGGCACTTCTGTCTTCCACTGCCTCCCACAGTTTTGTCAAACTCATGCTGGTAGCTTCGAGAACACTATCCAACCATCTCGTCCTCTGTCGTCCCCTTCTCCTTGTGCCCTCCATCTTTCCCAACATCAGGGTCTTTTCCAGGGAGTCTTCGCTTCTCATGAGGTGGCCAAAGTATTGGAGCCTCAGCTTCACGATCTGTCCTTCCAGTGAGCACTCAGGGCTGATTTCCTTAAGAATAGATAGGTTTGATCTTCTTGCAGTCCATGGGACTCTCAAGAGTCTCCTCCAGCACCATAATTCAAAAGCATCAATTCTTTGGTGATCAGCCTTCTTTATGGTCCAGCTCTCACTTCCATACATCACTACTGGGAAAACCATCGCTTTTACTTTTACAGCTTCATTGGATGACCCCAAGTTCTACTGTCATGGAAGAGAGAGAGAAATGTCTCTGTCCCCTTTCTCCGCAAGCTTCTGTGAAGATATTTAGGATGGTTTGGAGGTGTGAGCACCTTATATTCGGCCCAGAAACCAACTGGCAGCCAAGTAACTACAGGGATCCATGAAGGGAGTTTTGGTGAATCAGCTACTTATCTGGAGTGCTGCTGGCCACCCCTAATGGTCCCATCACCTCTGCTAATCAAGACTCAAATAATATTTAAGTGCACATTCCTCAAATTGCACACAGGAAACAATGTTCAAAGTTGAACATAAAAGTTTTGCTCAGCTAATTTTCCAGAGGTGGTCATACCCCATAATAAAATTCTTTTCACGCAACATGGCATACTATATCCTTTGAGAGCTAATGATATTCTGCAGCTGGGGCAGCATGAATCTGAGTTTGTTTGGGGGGTTCTCTCTCTCTTTCTCTGTGCTCTGAGTTATTTACTTCCAAAAGAGAATTCTCCATGGCAACTAGCCAAAGGGGCTTGTCTCTTTAGTGTGTGAAATGTGAGCAGATACAAACTTGACACCATATTTCATCCCATCGTCTTCCTTCATGTCTGCATTCCTGGAGGTAAATTATGGGGTGTCGCCAACCATTCAAAGGTGACAAGAAGCAGTTGTAAAAAAAGAAAAAGAAAGTATGAGAAAATGGAGGGAAAAGATTAACTATTTCAAAACACTCTAAGTAAGAAATTTTGAGCTATCATAAGTTTTAGAAAGAAACAATCACTTTCACTCTTTCTTTCTTTCTTTCTTTCTTTCTTTCTCCCTCTCTCCCACCCTGTCCCCAATTAGGTTCTGGACAAACACTATGAAGTACTTATTCATGCAACATACAATGAACTTACAGGTCACACATGCATTTATTTGCTGTTAAATTGGACTACTGCAATGTGTCCTATGTGGGGCTGGCTTTGAAGACTTCAGCCAGCTTAAAAAGCAGTGGTAAAAGTTTTGACTAGTGCATTTTTATTGCAATAACAGTGTATTGTTAATATTAATCATAGAGTTGGAAGGGACCACGAGGGTCATCTAGTCCAACCCCCTGCAATGCAGGAATCTTTTGCCCAATCTGGGGCTTGAACCCACAACCCTCTCAAGAATCTCATGCTCTACCTACTGAGCTAAGGGCATGACGCTTACCATGTTTCTAAAAGGTCCACAATCAAATAAGCAAGAATAAAAAGGGGGGAAGGAAAGCAAGCAAATCTAGAACATTTCTTTCCTCTTTAAAAAAGCACTCTAATTCCCATCAGCCTGAACCAGCATGGTAACAAGATGGGCATTGCAGTCCAGTAATAACTGGAGGGCACACTGCTTTCTCATTGCTGAAGTAGCAGATCTGACTGGAGAAAGCATCCTTGCTTGAGAGATGTTGCAGCTGGAAAAGATACATAGGTAAAAAGCCTGACATGATTTAAGGGAACTTCGTATATGTACTTCAAAGTAGGTTGTCAAAATCTGATTGGTAACTGGGGACATTCCAGCTGCGATCTGAGAGCAAAATGGAATTCTGGGAAATAAATTGTAACCCAATGTTATGAGGTTCAGCTATGTGAGCTGGTCCAAAAACAGCTATACAGGCTTCAAAGGGTGAAAGGGCAGCACCAGGCTCTCTTGGGAGGAGCTCATCTGCATAAGACACCTGCTGTTTTTGCTAAAGTCAGTCACACAGGAGGGGGGTCTCTTCCACCACCACCCATCCATACCCTTTCATTCTCCATCAAATTGTTTCTGACACAAGTAGGTGGATAAATTTTGTGTTCAGAAAACGCAAAGTGAATGGCATTCTGTGTGAAGGGCACTGACCAAAGTTGTTGTCTGAAACAGCTTGGAGGTACAGTGGTACCTTGGGTTACAGACGCTTCAGGTTACAGACTTCACTAACCCAGAAATAGTACCTCGGGTTAAGAACTTTGCTTCAGGATGAGAACAGAAATCGTGCTCTGGCAGCGCAGCAGCAGCGGGAGGTCCCATTAGCTAAAGTGGTGCTTCAGGTTAAGAACCGTTTCAGGTTAAGAACGGACCTCCAGAACGAATTAAGTTCTTAACCCGAGGTACCACTGTACTAGGTTGGGGGAGCCTGGAGTAGATAGTACTGGACTTAAGAGGGGCCAGATGAGTCTGGTTCAGTTTTCAAGGCAGCATCTCACGCTCTTGGCTTAATTTTGCTGCTTGGTTGTATTGGAGGCTACATATCTGCACATTCTTCACATTCTCACCACAAAGTGGCCGTCCGTCAAGACATGCACAATAGCACAGTGGAGAGGCAGGAGGCCAAGGGCGGACGAGATTCCTAAATCCAAGTCCTGCAACCGTATCGCTGCTGTTGTTTCTTAGGCAAGCATCCAGCGGATCTCAAAGAGCCAGGTTCCTCTGCTCCAAAGGGGAAAGGAGCCTCCAGCCTCAGCTGGCAAGTGTGGGAGGAAAGATCCTCCCCAAAATATCCCCACAATCGTAAAACTGGAGGTACACGCCGTGCTTCCAAGCTGTACTTGAAGGCTTGCAGCTTGCAACATTTTCATAACTTGGAAAATGTCCTGACAGCTGGATTAACTGCCGAGATAACAGAAGTAAAGGCAGGCACTCTTCCGTGTGTGTGTGTTCGTTTGGAGCATCATAAAACAAGCCTTCAAATTTCCTAGCCAATTTATCAGAAACCAATTTATCAAGGTAAATAATTCTAAGACAAAATGCTGGGGGGGGGGACCATGAGAGAGAGAGAGAGAGAGAGAGAGAGAGAGAGAGAGAACCTACGGAGCACACTCTTGTGTGACCAGCTTCCCCAAACTGGTTTGAATAAGAACTGAAATATTCTTTCTGCCAAAGTTGTAGTGAATTATCCCCATTTTTTTTAAAAAAAAAAAACTAAACTCAAATATCTACCATTTAGATAGTCTCAAATCCCTTCCAAACAACAACAACAGATGGCCACCCATCCTCTGCTTAAAAACCTCCAAGGAAGGAGGGTCCACAACCTTTGAAGAGAGCCCATTCCACTGTCAAACGGCTCTTCCCCTCAGAAAGTTCTTCCTGATGTTTAGTCAGAATCCTCTTCCTTGTAGCTTGAAGCCGGTGGTTTGAGCCCTGCCCTCCAGAACAGGAGAAAACAAGCTTGCTCCATCTGCCAGGTGACAGCCCTTTAGATATTTGAGATATTTCACCCAAAAAATGTCAGGGGGTCCAATAATGAATCTCCCATTTCACATCCAATTCTACAGTTTTAGCAAAATAACAAACTCTGTATCTACACTGTATTTTTTAATTTTATTTTTTGCCAGCAAGGACTGTCTGATTAGGTACTTGCTTGTATGTATGCTTTCCCCCCCCCCCCATGACTAAAACTCCCGTGCACCAAAACAGAGTTATAATAAATGTCTGACCTGGCTGGAATGCAGAAAGGTTGAACATATAAATCTTCAGGTGTGAAGTCAGACATTACTATATATAGGGTCCTCCCTTAAAGAGGGCACGTATTGCAGTGAGACCTGGAAACCGACACCCTGTGTTGTGGGTGGGTACGATTGGTCAGCCAAAACTCCCTCTTTTCAGCTCTTTTGCTGAATTTGTACTGTTCTGTTCCATTTGGAACAGTTTTTTGTATTTTATCATTGTAATTATTTTATTTGTTTTTATAATTATATATTGTGTTGTTGCAACCTACCCTAGGACCTTCTAGACTGGCTTTTTTTATTTTGGGCATATACTGCAACATATCCTTGAGAGAGCATGTACAGTGTACATACAGAGTTTATTTTGCTAAAACGGTAGAATTGAGGGCCAAACTAGATGTGACATGAGAGAATCATTATTGGACCCCCTGACATTTTGCGGGGTGCAATATCTCAAACAGAGTGGTGGGTTAATTCCATTTTTGTTTGTTCTGCAGTGCTTCCCTAATGCTACCTCATTGTTGCTGTCTATAGAGAGGCTATAGTACAATGAAAGCGAGATGAAAATGAACCAAGACATTTGTGGTAGAAAGAGTTGCAGGATTTCAGCATTAATGGGATATGTGCTGCTTAAAAATGAAGCAATGTGACCA